TGTGACGCTCATTCAAGTTAATCTACCCCCACGACCTACCTGGTGGTTATTGAAGGAACAACTTCTACAATTACACGAAATACTAACACGCCCCCCCCCCCTCTTTTTCACAATTCCCCCGAAACCAAACTCATTTTCACCGATTGCCAAAACATACATTAGATTATGATCTGTCCAAACCTGGTGTTAATAATTTCCACAAAGCTACGGGAGTCGCTCCATATAGACTATTCATTTGTACCTCGAGGTGCCTTTAAAGTCTAAATTAATTAAGAATTTAGGCGTCTAAAAAGTGTAAACAGCTTAGCTTACAAGTGATCGTTTGTAACTACTCGAATTCACAAAACACTAAATTCTTCTACAAGTAGAATATCCTGTAGAAATTCTTAGAAGTTAAATTAGTTGAATGACTATGGCTGGGAGAAGGGATGGGGTAGGGGATCTTACCGCACTTTATCTTCCAGTTATTCGACTGCTTCTCACCCCCTAAGAAATCGAATTTTGACCGACCAGTCATAGAAGTTTTGAAGAAAATGTAGCCATCCATCTCCTTGCAAAAATGAGACCCGCCGGGCACCAAATTTTATCAAACAAGATGCACAAAATATGATGGAAAAAAAGGTTTTTCTTCTTCTTTATTGTCTTACGACAGCAAGGAAAATAAGTTCGGTCGGTTTGGGAAATTACGAAATTGCAACAGATAACCCAATCTCCTGCGCGCAAACACGCCAGATCAAATTATTTAAATATAAGGATATTTTTTGCTAAAATGGGGTGTTTTTTATTCACATCGATTTTAGTGATTCAAGTAATAGTTTTCAACGCAAATTTTCTACAAACCAATGAACATCTTGAATCTTTGAGATCAAATGCGATATTTGTTTTACCGACTTGCAATCCTAATACTTAGTTCTTGATATTGGCTCTTATAGCTTGATCAAAATTATTGGGCCAAAAAACATCCAAGTCAAATTAAAGGGCTATAGGAAAAATTTAGACTTTGCCCTGAAAGAAGAATTTTTGTTTCAAATAGAAGGATGAAACTTGCTCGCATTTTTATTGTTCAGACTTTCGGGGTGGTTTTTTTTTCGTCAGACAAATTTCGACTTTTTAACTAGCCACTTTCTCGCATTTTTATTGTTCAGACTTTCGGGGTGGTTTTTTTTTCTTCAGACAAATTTCGACTTTTTAACTAGCCATTTTTGACGGAGTTTTTTTTTAATATGATTCAAAAGACATTGTTGTCCTGAGCTTAAAATTTAAAAAAAAATTCACCTGTTATGGGGGTTTGAAGATTGCCATTTTCGCCAATTTGGGACAATTAACGCGCGATATATTTCGCGCTATTAACGTGTAAGCTGAGATTTAATCCGTCTTAGAAAACGTTCCAAATTGGTTGAAGGAAGGTTATTTGCCATAATTGATTTGTTACTAGGAGCGAAACTTATCACTTTATACTTTATATGGCGTGTGGGGTGATGATTTCTAATAAAAAAAATCTTAAATTCAGTTTTTTATAGTTTAATTTATTTTACCTTTTTTTTTTAAATTATTATTACTGCTCCATAGACCTTAAAATGCAGTAGGAACATTGAGGGCTTCGCCCTGATACGAGCAGTCTTGTTTTGTTTTTAAGAATTAAAATGCAAACAGGAAAACATTATAATTTTTACAGTGGTTTTTGAAAATTGTGGAAAAAAGACCAATTTTTATATTCTGTAAATATTTTATAAATATATTTAAAAAGAAGGTTTTGGTAAGCTGTTGTGGAACAATTTAACATAAACATTTTTGTATCGGTTGGTTTACTAATGCTTTTTTAAGTATATAAATAGTGTGGCAGCAATTCATCGTTTTTTATTTAGTCACAATTCGGCGATCAAAACAATAAATTAATAGTGTATAGAAACGAACTTAACACTCTATTGAAGATATTGATTCCCTTAGTTGAAGGAAAAATATATTTTACCCTCAATTTTTTCTTATTCTGCGGGTTCGAAACTTGCCATTTTGGCCATGCTCAGGACTAATTTTTGTGTTAACTGAAGATTTTGTTTAAAATGTTGAAAGGCGATTGAGGCAAGATAACTGGTTGTATTCAATTCGTACTATTCAAAAGTTCACATTTTATGTGTGATAGTTTCATTAATTTGTGGTCTTTAAAAACTTTTGTAAACAAAAACAATGCGATACAGATTCAGGGCAGTGCAAAATTTTAGGGCTTTGCCATAATTCGAGCAGTTTTATTAAAACTATCAATTTGTCACAGGGCAATTTATCAGGCGTAGACGCTGAGCAGCTTCAAAAATCATCGTTGTTTTCGGTCAAATCAATTTGACAAAAAACAGGAGAAGTGGAGTTTTTGTTTCAGCTGCTGAAAAAACTGAGTTATGTACTGTTGACTGTACTCATAGAGTAATTTCAGATAAGGTACACCGTCTGCTCGTCACGCTATCTTATTTTCGGCAGGATAGATTCGTGCAACTTCTTAGTCTAAGACCGATCTTAATCTTACTCTTATATCTCCTATTCTAAATAGATCTAGTGTATACTGGTTTATGCGAGTAAGTTATTGGAGTTTATCCAGGAGGAGAACAACTGTATTCTAAGTTTTATTTAAATTGTTCTGGTGCTGGAACTACAAGTAGTTTCAGCACTTACAAAAAAGTGTAAATGTTAGAGATGGAATATTATTGGTTAGTTATAAATATTTTATAGTGATATTCCATCATAAATATATTTGGTCTAAAAATTTTAGTTTAAAACTGGTTCCAAAACTGACAAATTTTTGTGCTTGGAGTGGTTTTAACGAACTTTTTTTGGCCTTCAACAAACAATTTTCAGTGATTTTTTCAGTGATACCTTATAAATTGAGGAATGTTGACGACTTGATCTCAATAAAAAAGTAGTGTTTTACTTTCAAATTTTGTTCGAAATACAGACTTTTTGTTAAGCTCAGAAAATTTTATTGATTTTCATCAAAGTTTCAATTAATGCCCAGAGCTCAAAATGATAGAAAAACATTTTAGTTACAAAAGTTTAGTTTGAAGATTGTCTGTTTTGCCAACTCGTGGTCATCATTTTCCGCAAAAATTTCTTTTTTCCAGTTACACGTACCGTATGCAGCATGAACGTGGCCCAGAAATTGAGACAAGCTTATTGGTCAAAACATTGAGTTAGAAAATGAAAAGTTTATTTTTTGTATTTACAACGCAAAACGGCAAAGAATTACGCAAAATGCTGAATATCTAAGCCAGATGCATTAAAAAGTGGTCGAATCCTTCATGGCTTTGCCGTGATACGAGCGTTTAATTTAAAAAAAACTTTTTTGGCGTTTTTATAGCTTTATTAGCAGACTGCCCCTAAACGGTCTGAAGTCTTTTGAAGGACGCAAAGGTTTCACATAAAGCTAAATACTTACCTCTGTTATCGATTGACTGAAACATCTCTATTGACATTCAGCTCACATGACCCAACTTTTCATTGAAAATCCTCAGCTCAAAAATGCTTAAAATTTATTTTTTAGAACCAATTCATTGTTCTATCCGATGAAAATCGGGATGAACTTTTGACTTTGAATAAAAAAAGTGAGCGAGCAAGCTTATTATATAAAGATAGTCGAAATTGAAGTAAAAAAAGTTTTGAAATTATTATTCAAGCTCTAAAAAAGCAAAAAAGATCTATTTTGTTTTTTAGCGCCATCTTTGAAAAAAAGCTTCAAAATTTTTAGAAAAATACCGGAAAATTTTATTTTTTTAGTCAATTTTTGAATAAAATGGTTGTCCAAAATACCTATTTTACTATGAACAGGGGAGGATTGAGGGGATGGGGGGGGGGTGACGCACGCTCTTTCCCTTCAGGGATTCGACCCCCTGCCGACCTTATGACTAACAAAAACTTATAGCTTTTCTTTTCGATCATTTCTTTACACCACGCCAGGGGCGGATCTAGGATTTTCTCGAGGGGGGGGGGGGGTGATTTTAGGGCGGACGACGACCATTTTTTCTAGGTCGACCAAATTGATTTTCCAAGTTCTCCCAAAGCAGTAAAAAGATCCTGTTTTGGTCACATTTTCTGCGCCGCAGGCAAAATTTTGAAAAACAGTCCAAAAAAGGCGTTTTTAGGCATTTTTGGAAAGATTTGACCAAAAAAAATTGCGTTTTTTGTCGCGCTCTCCCCCCTCAAAATTAGTTTAGATCGGTGACTTTAGAAAACTTTTAGGGTCCGTCAATTTTAGGATTTTGGCAGATAATTTTTTTTATTATACAACATTTTGAACACTTGTATTGCTTAAAATGTAGGGAATCAACATTTGCTTCCTTTTTATCATTTTGAAATCTCATTTTTCATTGTCTTTGGCTGTCCTTTGGCTGATCCTTAGTAGTTTTCGGGATCCAATCGGTCGGAAACCGGTATGATCTGTAATTGATTCCCGATGCCTTTTAACCGACTTGTACAGATTTGGAGGCGCCGATCATAAAACTAACCATTTGTTTCTGATTATCCAATGTTTTCATACAGACCGCCATATTTCAGTTTGATCATACAATAATTATAGCTTCTATATAATTAATTATATTGGATTGAATATTCAATTAGCGTATACTAATTTATTTGACGTAATTTTCTTTTGAACCGACGCAGAATCAATTGTTTATTGGGAAGACACCATTCTTTTAAGTTTGTATTGAGCGTTGTCAAAACTGCGCAGTTAGGGTTATTAGGGGGGATTAAAAATCACTTAGTGATAAAGTGGCGACATTATCCGCCCGTTTCATGTCTTAATCCGAAAACGAATATTGTGTAATGTTTTCACCGAAGCGAGGGGGATTAAATTAATGTATATTGTTTATACCACAACGTTAATCCCCCTCAATATTCGCAAACCGAACTTTAAGCGCCAAATGTCCCTGCAATTTTATTGGTCGATCTGGGTACGATAACGGCCTATAGCAGCTGACTTCAAAACCTTAGAATCATTTTCCAACATTTCGGTAACCAAAACTTACCCTCCGCTTTCTGGCAAAACTTTTGACAAAAAAATTAAACGTTTACTTGATTATTTCTCAACTTGATATCTGCGAAACTTGTAGATTGCCTAACAAAATTTCAGTCACTTGAAAATTGTCAACAGAGGATAAAATATCCAAGACGACAATGTCTCCTATTTTAATTAATATTTGCTCAAATCCCTCTGAAATGGCTTTAAAAAATTGTTCGCTCAAAAAAGAGAAGCCACCCAAAAAACGGGTTTCTAACTTTTTTATTAGTCAAATTTTGAGCGAAAATCGAGACGAAACGCATGGCACAAACTCAGAGCACGAAAACAGCGGTTCCAGTCCTAGGGAAAATCTACGAAGCGCCGACTCTCCAACTTGTCTGAAAAACGAGGCGTCTGCTAGCGGATCACAGTCGAGAGAAGATGAGATTACAGATTGCACGCGAAGATGGCAGGATGTGAACAGAATAACACCAGAAGAAGGGCTTGTGGCCGATGGCGACATGGACGATGATTGCACCACTCCGAATGAAGAGCAGCCTTGGGACATTTTGAACTCTTTTTTGAAACTATCACAAAATCAGAAATCTTCACCAGTTTTCGAAAATCATGCAGGTAAATTGGTTGATTTAATTGCGCCAATTATCACTAATTGCAATCTATTCGAAGATAAGTTGATGGAATTGGCTGAACATCGCTGTCTAATATTTTTAAAAATATCGGCGATCAGGCAACTCACTAGAAAAAATTCAGCAACAAAAATTATTTCATTTTCATCCACAAATTTTTTTAACCTTGCAAATTTCTTAGTAATTTTTTGGCTTTTAAAATTCTGAAACCCTTCTTGTGGTTTTCGAAAAATTCAAATCTGGTATTTGAACGGTATGGTTGAATTTGACAAAAAAAGATGTTTTTGAGGAAAAGATTTTGATCAAAATGTCGCCTTCACTCATAAATTTGGTCGGCCAAAAGTAGAACTAGCTATGTTTTATAATAAAAGGGAACTCTTCGGAAAAATTCCATCAGCTCAAATGACGGGGGGTAAAGCGCCAGAGTTTTTCAAACTTCGGGTATTCAAATTTCGAAGACACTTTTTCAATCTATTGTGAACTCGGTTCTGAAAACAAGGTTTGTTTCTTTTAGAAACATTATTGGAGCCAGGAATGCACCAAAACTGCCCCCAGAGTTTAGGTCATCATCTCAATCCGGCAAATTTTGCTGAGCTTCTTGAAAAATCTGCTCACAATCTGGTTGCGAATCAAACACACATCCATCCATTTATGCCTGGAAACAATCTGACAGTACCAAACTTTCTTCAATTTCAGTCTCCTAAAAAGTCCCCCTCGCATTTACACCATTTTGTGCTACCTCAACCAAATTTGATACCGCCCTCTAATATCAACCACCCCAACCCCGCTCTAACTTTTGGGACACCGCTGAGATTTCTTCCTGGCACGACGGCGGATTTCTCCCGGACAACGATGGACCTAATGTCAGCAGCGGCGGCGTCTGGTGCTTCGCCGGAGTACGCGGCCATGTTTCCGGGAGGAGTGCCTTGCGGCAGCACTTATGACCCCTGGGGATTACAGTCGGCGATTAATAACCGAAGATGCAGAAGAAGTCGCACCGTGTTTTCAGACCAACAGCTGAAAGGACTCGAGAAAAAGTGAGCAAAAAAAAAAGAAAAAAATATCAAAAATTACCAAAAAGTATTCGTGTCGTTTGTTTTATAGATACAGTTTTTTGCCGACGGTAAATGTTTGCAGAAAATAATTGCAATTTTTACAAAGTTTAGAAAAAAATCAAAGTTTCTGTTTTTTGATTTTATACTTTTTTCGCTCTTTTGTTCCATAGTTTTACTTATGTTTATTTGTTTGTTTCCTGTTCAGCTTCTGCAGCACTAAGTACTTGACAACTATGCAGAGGAACAGACTGGCCAAGGAGAGTGGACTAACGCAGATGCAGGTGAAGACTTGGTACCAGAACAGACGCATGAAATGGAAAAAACAGGTAAAGCATTAGAAACAAGCTTTGTAGAGAAAATTAGTTTAAAATGCGAGTTTAATAGAAAATTTTTTATCATTACTTTTATCACGTTAATAATTCCACGAGTGTTTATCTTTAATCGCTAAGTTGTTTTTTTTTCTTTGTTTTAAAGCTGCGAGCGATGATTAAAAGATTTGTGTAAATGGCCTTTTCTACGACGTTTATAGACATTTGGACTTAAAATTTAATAAATAGTATGACAAATATTAAAAATCAAAGTTTAATATATTTTTGTGTTTAGCTGCTACTCGACGGAGCCACTTCCATCCCCACGAAGCCCAAAGGAAGACCCAAGAAGATTCTAGAAGAACAAGAACTAGAGGAGGATGAAGAACACTGAACGAGGAATTAGAAAAACTCACTCGAAGCTAGAAAATAGAAATTAGATTTCCTTCTTTTATAAATTGTTCTTTTTAAAAAAAGTTATTTTTATATCATTTTGTACTATCACATAATTCAAAACTTTTAAATTACATGTCACCTTGTAAAATCTGAATGTTTTTAGAATAAACAGATTTCATTGGCAGGTAGAAAACTCCTTTTTAGAAATCCAGCTTTTTCATCAATTATAGACTCTCTTCACTTATTTGGCAATATTTGACCGACCGTTCTTAAATAATTTTTTAAACTACTTTCTCGGAAAAGTTACAACGTTAGAGCCTTTCTTAAATTTTTTTTGTGGTGATAAAAAACTGCTTTGTTTAATCTTACCAAAGGTCGACACTTTTGGCAACCATTTTTTGAAACCATCCCTCCATTCGATCCCAAAATTTGTGAGCGCTCGTGTATTTGATCCCCTGGCTTGACAACTTGTCTAGGACCAAATCACCCAAGATATAATCCCGCAAGACAAACTGCCCCTGGATAAAGTCCCCAAGGAGAATATCCCTATAATTATAAATTCCCGACATTTCAATTAAACATCCCAGAATACAATTGTATAGATTCATTGCATTATGCTTTGATTTTTGTAATGATTCCATTTGAGTTGATTTCCACCACGGGGCGGATCTAGTATTTTCTAAAGGGGAAAATTTCAAAGAAAATCAAATTTTTACCGACTTTTTTTCAGGTCGACCAAATTGATTTTCAGAGGCTTTTCAAATCATTATAAAGCTCCCTTTTTTGACCAAATTTTCTGGGCCGCAGGAAAACTTTTGAAAACAAAACTCTCAAGCAAAGTCGTTTTGGGCACTTTTTGGAAAAATTTGAGCAATAAATTGCCTTTTTTGCTTTCCCCTCAAATTAAGCACATATTGGCACTGAAGTTGCCTTTAAAAAAATTAAGGGTCCGTAAGGCAAAAATTGAGATCTTAAAATAGTGAAAAGGGGGACTCTTTGGGTTGACAGGGAAACGAATCCTTGAGAAGCGAGGTCGTCATACCCCCCCCCCCCCCCCCTAAATCCGCTGGTGCTTCCACCTAAACACGCATCATCAGTTTGACGCGAGTTTTAAACAACTTCAAATTCCAAGTTTCTATGAGAATGGGCTTTGGTTGTAAAAATGTTTAAAAATTAGTGAGCCAAACTAATGGAACGGAAATATAGTTGATCTATTTCAATGTCTAATTTGTCTTCAGTAAAAAAAGGGTATTGAACAACGTTTCACAAAAAATTAGACGCAGTGGCTTGCAGCCTCTCTTCTTCCCAAAAGGTTCTTTTAAAATGCCCTGACAAAATCTACACCATAATGTTTCTCATAGATTCCTTTAGTACTTCATCTCAAATGACGGATTCGAATTATCCGACAAGAAAAGCGAAGGCAACCACAGATTCTAACAGTAATAGAATTTGAGCTGCTTGTAAGATTTAAAAAGCAGAAACTTTTAAAATGAGCTGAGCGAGTTTGCTTGCAGTGCAAAGTTGAAGCAGCGCACCATATTAGGCCGAGACGATGTCGGCAAGCAAATTCTGCCTTTCTCTATTTTTTAAAACGTCAGAGAACTTCTTGAAAAGTATAAAGAATCATAGCAAAGTGACTTCCTCTGCAGATCTGTGTTCAGTTAAATAAATCAAGAGAAAGTTTAGCCTGATAGTTCTTTCCTTTTTAGTCATTATTAATAACAGGTCTGTGACCGGTGTAACTCCGTCATGTCTGAAAGTGAAAACAAATACGCTTCATAAAAATCAAACCCGTGACTCTGAAGAGATGAAAAACTACCTGCCTATCACAAATGCCCCTGTCCTCTTTGAGGTTTTGAGACAGATGCGTTGGAGCAAACTTCGAAACACCAGAAACAATCAAAACTTTTGAAAACTAGCAAATTGTCTACCTTAACTTTCTCTCAATTGAAACTGCTATCCTCCTCGTTTCAACTACGTTGCTCATTCAATAAATCTTCTGAAACAGACGTTACTACTGACTCTGGATTTGTCAGCTACTTTTGACATTCGCGATCAGAATTTTTTTTGTATCTTATTCAAATGGCTTTTTGCTTTGTAGCTACTTCCTCTCAAACGCATGTTCAAATAGTACGAGTTGATAATAACCGAATTGAGTTAGTCATTATTGAGTTGAGTTACATTATTGATCAAATTTAAAAAATAATGTTTCACTTGTTCAAAATTTTTGTGATCAGTTCAAAATTAAGTAACGATTCTTTTCACATTCAGATGGCTCTGCATTTGTAGTGACAGCCCGCATTGGAGTTCCATGAATAAAAATCGATTATAATTGAATTTCATTGTCAGTGTCCACAAAAGTGAAAACAAATCAATTATAATGTCACTATTTTTCGAGGCAACAAAATCTTTTTTTCATCCATTATAATCGCTTTTTTTTTACTTTTGTGGACACTGACAATGAAACTAAACTATAATCGATTTTTTTCCACTTTGCTGAGATGCGAATTTCAACGCACATAAAGTCTTTTCTACGTATTAAATTAAAGTTGGTTACGTTGGTTATTTGTTGTTCAATTGAATATTTTTCTACCTAACTTTAATATTTTTGTCACTTTTTGAGTTTAGGTTTTGAAATGCATTAGGCCAGGCCGTACACTCGCTTTGCAAAGTTTCCGCATCACTCACTTGATAAATGCTGAAATTCTTGCAAAATTTTGCACGGCGAAACAAAAAATCCATTTTATTGTGATTTCCTACTTATTATAAAATCCATTATAATGCATTCAAAATGAGTTTTAATGCATTTTGTTTTGGCGAGCAAAGATGGAATTAAATCCACTTTTAGTCCAATTTTGTTGTCTAAACGTAACATGGGAATCGATTATACTTACAACATTATAGACCACGAAAACCCATTATAATCGATTTGTTTTCACTTTTCTTAAATGCGGGAGGGTCGAGATCTTGCAACAACTGTTTTCACTGTCCTTTTTTAATCAACCCGCTTGCTGATTTTTCAAAATTTCTATTTTTAATTACAGTTTGAATCACAACCAAAAGTGCTTGAAGCACTACCGCACCTAGGGAAAAAATAGATTTCAAAAAAGTATTCGTAATCCAATCTATTGTCATCGTACCATTTTACTGTTCTACTCAAAATCCTTGAAATTGATTTTTTCTATATAAAAAAAAGTTTTTTTTTTACTTTAGTATTTGACATTTGAGACCCAAACTGCTCAGTTAATATTTGGCAGCTCATTTTTGTTCAAATGCAAAAGTCTAAATTTGTCAATTCTTGATCTTGCTTGCGACATGCCTAATTTTGTAACAAACTTACAACCTTTGGCCTATATTTTGGACTCAAAAATCGAAAACACCGAGACTGGGTCGGGAAACACGAAGCTCGGCAAATAACAAATAGTAGTCGCAATTGCTGCGAGTGCGCCAGTTGCGTTTTTTTCACCAAAATTTTTGGAAATTTTAGTTTTTGTTCGCAAAAGACTAAAATTGAAAATGATCGCAAAAAGTGGGACATAGCAAGTACTGAAAGCCAAATTTCTGACTTAATAGTTGAATTTTGAACCAGGCAATACTTCTCGTAGCAGGACAAGCTTTAAAGCTTCCTTTTGTATCTTTTTGTACTATTGTGCTAAAAGATTTTAATAATCTTGCTCCAAAAAAGAACAATTGCTGTCGTAAAAGTAGACAAATGACACAATTTATGGAGATGGTTGAAATATAAAGTAGAAAACATGTTTCAAGCCACGAATATGAAGTACAAACTCAAAATTTTTTTAATCAAAAGTACATAAATAATTACAAAAAAAAATTTCAGAAATTTTTTAAATAAATACAATGTGAGAAGCTAGAAAACAAGCAAAATGCCTTTCAAATTGAACTTCATAAAAAATCAAGTAACCCTTTTTTCATCTTTGTCAAGTTCATTTTCAATGATTTTCGCACATCGAATTATCCCTTGTTACCAGAAAACACTGAATAAATTCTTATGACGGCCGAATCGATAGCTTTCTTCACCAAAATATTTATACCCATTGAAGATATCAGCTCCCTGAAATCAAATAAAAAGCTATTTTATCTCCAATCATTTTTTGCAAAGATTTAGGAGTTCAAAAATTACCAAATTGGCCATGCTCTGATTTAACTTACACGCGCTTTGAAGATTTTATTTCTTACAAAAAAACACTTTAGTTGAATTTCGAAAAAAATTTCAGACAACAAGTATTTGTAGGTCAAATATTTCTATTTTCACATCAAAATTTAGCTTTATATCATGTTTTGAACTATAGTAATTTTGTTTCCGACCTTTTGAAAAATATTTTGGAAATTTTTTCGGATGTGTTTTAGTATTTATTTTCTTTTTTGTGTTTTTTTTGTGTTTTCCTTGCAAAATCAATACCGCAAAAAGTCATCGAACTGGGTCGAGTAATATACCAAATTGAAGCTTTTTCAGTCATGATTCGAAAGTTTTTCAAAAAGATTGTCCAGTATTGAGTAAGTTCAAAAATTTTATTGGTTTTTATTGCAATAGCTTATTCATGATTAATTTAGGCCCTAGAGACTTATCTTTTTATATAGAAATGGTTTTTGGAATTTTATTAGTGCCATTTTGGGAAACCAGAACTTCAAAAACAATCAAAATTTGTTTGCAGTAAAACTTGAAAAAAAAACTAAAATTTTTAAATTTTTAGTCATTTTTCTACAAACACCTTTTGCAATTTGCCTATATTATTATGTTTATCACAAATGCTCAAAATCTAGATTTACGTCAAATCATTTTATCAACCGACGCAGAAAAAATTACCCAAAAAAAATTGCACAACAACCAACCATCTTTTTTAATTGCAAACAGTTATTAGCAAAATTGATCACGAAAGCACTTTGATTTTAATGTTCTCCATAGAAGCTTACCATAGTTTATCACAGAGTAATCGTATTTGAATGAAAAATTTTTTCAAATTTAAATTGATTTTTCGATATATAAAATTTTGTCTCAAGATATGTTTCGCCGATCATTAATAAATTTTGTAACTGATTTTCATTTGGTTTGTCATGACATCTTTCAGTAAAGAATAGCTTTTTCGTTCTTGCGCTTAATTCAATTTCATTTTTTTCATTTTAAGCAGAATCGGTTACTCGCTGTCGTTGAAAAAATCTGGCCAGTGACTTGTACTTGGGCAAGTTAACAACTGTTTTCAGGTTAATATTCTGAGCGTTTCCACATAAAAGATCATGGCAAGTTCCCATGTTGTTTTTCCTTTCTGTTTGATAGCACGTTTAACCCTGTAATTTTACAGTTTTATAACAGGTCAACCTTGCAGTCATGCTATTTTAAATTTTATTCTTAAAAACCAATTTAATTTGAAATCTTAACTTTTAAAGTTTGAATTTTTTTTCTTCCATGCGTATAACGTTTTCGTGGCCGTGTTCTCTAGAAATGCCGACTGTTTCATCTGCGATGGTGGCAACAGAAGCTTTACACGGTCTCTTCACGCATCGGAAGTTATATTTATCAGTTTTTTTGTTGTAGCGGTTTAGTTTGAAGTTTCTCCACTGTCAACAAGGTGTTGTTTTCCTTGCTCGCTCATGACAAAATTTTAAAGGCATGTTGGTATCAGAAAAGTAATGCTTTGCAAGATAAAATTGAAACAAGTAATGGAGCTGTTTTAGATGCTATTAACGTTCAATTACTCCTATTTTTACTTTTCTTTCATTTTAACTTTGTATTTCATTCAAAACTGACGCTAAATTGAAATATTTGATCGCTCGTTGGATTTAATTCCCTCACAACCCCTAAAAATTTTTTGCCTAATTTGCATCGCTTAGTCATCTTCCCATTTCGCATTTAGCCGTGCTGCAAATTGTCGCCTGCTACGAATTGACGCTCGGTGCGAATTGTTGCTTGTTAAAAATGCTGCGAAACATCGCTTGTGACCACTCGTCGCTTGCGACGAAGTGTTGCCTCAGGGTTCAATTTTGCAGCTAAAGTTATTTTTGTGTTCGCTCTTTTCTGATAAATGGCTGTTAATTCGTTGGAAGCCTCAAAAATTGTCTTGAATTATGTTTGCTTGGATTCGGTTTGTCTTATTATTTGGTTGTTTTTCATATTGTTCTAATTTTACTGCTCTGTGTGTTTTTTGTTTTTTTTTTGCGCTAATTTTCTTTCAATTTTTGTTTTTTGGTTGTGTTTGAAGTTGTAAAAACACAGTGACTTTTTAATGCATGATTTTCTTTTTTTATCAAAAATCCAAAGAATTTTCCCCTCCAGATTTTCAGCTTGGAGCAAATTGATCAAAATAATTAAACCATACCAAATATTGATGCTCGGACAAAAAAACGGGCGAAGAGCTTTCAAAAGATCTTTTTGTTTTGCGCTGAAACAACCGCACGTGAAAAGAGCGGAGGAAAAAATTAATTTGGTCCGAGTTTTGGAATATCTTGGAGAAAGTAGGGTTCAAGGTTTTCCATTCAAGGGTTGAAATCTATAACTATATATTTTTTCTTCTTTTCTTTCGGTTCCTTCTTGAGAACCAATTTTACTATCTGGCATCTCAACTTCAATGATTTTGCCCCGGAATTCCTGCAGAACTCGCTGTGACCGCCAGATGGCTATGTGCTCGAGGCTGAGTCGCGGTACTCTGTCCGGCTCCTTTCATAGCCGACTTGCCTCTAAGCAGAAGGTTGAGCATGTCTCGGAACGCAAGGTTGAATCTGCGACTGCAGATGATGTAGATGACGAAGTTTAGAGATGAGTTAATGGCTCCACACAGCTCGCTGATTGAGGTAGCAGTGGTTCGAAACTGCTTCTGAACCTGAAAAAAAAGAGTTTTTTTTGCGAATTGCTTGAGAAAAAGAGGTATGATCACTGTAATTGCTGCAAAAAAAATAAAAACTGCATTTTTTCCAAGTTCTGAGAGGGCTTCTGAAAGATAGATTAATAAATTAGATGACGTTGAATGTTTTTGAGCAAAAAAGCCGTGTATGGACAGTTTTGATCTAACTCAATATGAACAATATGGATGTTTTCAAGAAAAAGTTCGAAAAATTCGTCGAACTTATAAGGTCGAACAAGCTGATAACCGAGCTCTACCGAAGCACTAAAAAGAGCTTGTTTTGGCCAAATTTTCTGCGCCGCAGGCAAAGTTTTGAAGCAAACAGGCCAAAATAGGCGTTTTAAGCACTTTTTGGAAAAATTGGACCAAAAAATTGGGCTTTTTTTCGGCACGCGCTTCCCCTCAAAATTAGTTTACATTTGGTTTGCAGCCATCGATCAGCTAATGAGCTCCAGCATTGATTTGACCACTCTAGAAAAAATGCTTTAAGAATACTTAAATAAAAATTACGTTGCTGTTTTAAATTAATAAACTCTTGTGCAACTTTAACTGCTTAATGAATGAAGTCAAAGTATTAGAAATGGGTCAACTTAGCATAGCGTAGAATGAAATAAACTAAAGTCGGTTTTGCTGCTTCCAATTGAATTTTAGCCTTGAAGGGGGGGTTGGGAATCCTTGGAGTGGGGGGGGGGGGGGCTCTGAGATAACTTTCGCCATGGTGCAATCGAAAATTCCACACTGAATTTGTTTTGAAGTTGCGGTTTTTTTGTTTTAAATTTGGTTGTAATTCGGTTATAATTTAAGATAAAGATAAATTCATACTTGGGGGTGTATTTGTGGGTCTGCCTCACTGTAGAACATGACATAGTTCCCCCACATCACTCCACTCTCACCCGCCAAGAACAGGAGAGAGGAGACAATTAGGAGGGTAGTCATCGAGTACTCCTTCCTTCCGCCACCCGCTCCCCCTGAAACCAAAAAACGGATCAAAGTTAGCATACTCCCCCTAAAAAGTTAAGATCCTCCACCCCAGCGTTCATTTTAATTCAAATATACTTAGCGCTGCATGTAAAATGCTCTATTCTGATTGGCTGAATATTCAAACTCAGAACCAAGTTAACATCCATCCCCCGATTGGGGGGGGGGGGGGGGGCGATGTTAATTTGTTCCCAAAAAAAACTGACGGTGCTCGGGCTCGTTGCTTGAGGGTGCTAGGGAATATTACCAAGCCCAGAAAAAGTGCTAACAAATTGCATGTAGTTCTTAAGCAGGGGGTACAACAGCGGTTTGCCAAGATGAGTTGAACAGCACGTATGTTGGTCCTTTCCCTCGTGGATAAATGGAATTAAATTAGAATCGAAACCAAAGAGACATTGAAGCTCCGCTTTTGTGCAAAGGGTTTTAAAAAAATCCAAAAAAATCTGGTCTGATTTTTTTTGCTGTTCAGACACAGATTTAGAAAAGAGCGGATTGATTTTCTTCGTTTCTTTTTCGATAAATTCTTACCGTTTATTATTGCTTTATCGTCATGCTTGGAGAAGTTTGTGGTATAATCTGGGAGCTTACTTGATTGGAGAAAAAAAAACACAAAATTGAATTTAAAAAAAACGCATTTTTAAGTTGTGGTCTGAATATTCTGTTCTGTTTGCAGAGCGACGAGCCACTGTTTTTTTTTGTTTTCAATAATCTCGAATAAGTGCATCAGGGCAAGATTCGAGTGTTGCGTCCAGAAAAATTTGAATTTGGATAACTTTCTTTGCAAACCAAACACTAGAAAAGCAAATATCTATTAATCTATGAGGGCTAATTATGCATGAAGCTTAAGCCTTTTCATTTTTCATTTTTTAGAAAAATTTAATGTGCTCAAATTATCCATTAGTTTTCAGAAAAAATTAAATACTTTCAGTTTTTAGACAATGAAGAGCCAATTTCCAATCAGAAAATTCATTTACTGCGAGAAGAGAACCTAAAACATTTTTTAAAAACTAAATTAGCTGATCTCAATCAAGCTCTTGTTAAATTGCAGTTCTGATTTCTTCGAGTTAGGTTAACATTCTATATAAAGTTATCAGAAAAAGAAGTAGCTTACAAATTTATCAGAATTAATCTGAAGCAAAAATCATTTTGCTAAAATTGTTTACTCTTTGAGCCCAAATTGGTCTTTTTTGGCTGTATTTAGTTGATGAAAAGCACGCAAGAACTACCAGGTCGATTTGTGATCAAACTAACTCAAAGTGAGGCAGTTTCATAGGCCAACTAAGTTTAACAGGAGTGTAACAACCTCAATTATGATAAATACTATTTAAATTTGTAACTATTTGCTACATTTTCAAAGCCCACTTTTCCGACTTGGTAATCAGTTCAACTTATATTGAAAAAAATTTTAATTGTCGTATACGCAAAAAGCAACCTATTTTAACAAAACAAAGATAAAAAAGAAACGACGATCTCCTCGTAAAAGTTGTTCATCTGAAACCTCTGGGAAAACACTTCAACCTTAACTAGGTTGCTGGTGTTTATTATCGAATTTTTTGAGGATCAATTATAAACTTACGGGTGTCTTAATCGTAACTTGGTAACTCCCTCTAGAAAACTTTTCTTGGCTGATGCTTCAATTTGAGTCAACACAATTAAAGCGTCTGTAAATGCTTTTCATCGAAGACCGGTGAGAATTTTGCGGACTTTTTTTAGGTTGACTAAAATCATTTCCAAACTCTTCCAAAGCACTAAAAAAACCTGTCTTGGGCAAAGTTTTTTTGCCGTAGACAAAATTTTGAAAAAGAATGCCAAAAAATGCGTTTAGAGGCACTTTTTGGAAACTTTTTGGACACTTTTTGGAAAAGGCGTTTAGAAGCCTTTAGATCGGCAGGGTGTCGAATCCCTGAGGAATGGGGAAAGGCGTCCGCCCACTCCCCCTACCCCGCCTTCCCCATCCCTAAATCCTCTGGTCAGTGAGATGCAACAACCTCAATATTGATTAATACGATTTTAATATTTAAATTTTTAGAATTTTTTTTTCCAGTTCATGTTTCTGACATGGTACATTAATCAATTTAAAACCTATGACTCTGGTAGCAAACTTCATCTGATGAGAAACTCAAGACAACAGTAAATTAGTTAAATTACATCGTGAAAACAGTGGATTGGCTTCAGTCCACGGATTTGGTAGTTGTTGTGAAAATTCGGTTGCTGGTACGTCCTTTTAGTTGTTCAAAATTGAGTTCGAAATCAGTAATCACATCTAAGTGAATATTCTTATCAAGAACATTCCGGAAAAGGAGAGAATGTGAATAAGACAGAGTTTTAAAAATTTAAATTTTTTTGAAGAGATGCGGTATTTTTGTGATATTAAACACCTCAAAAGTTTTCATGGTCAGCTCAATTTGAGAATAACGCGTTTAATCTACTAATTTTTAGTGATTTTGTTCGAATAAATTTAATCTGTTTTTATTGTAGCTTCACTTAAATTCTTCCATTCTTTCCAAAAAAAAACAATT